TCATGGGTCATCTACCGCCACCACCTAGGTCTCCTAGAACGCTTCCATCAACACTGTCTCCGCACAATCCTAAACATCCACTGGTCAGATTATGTGACCAATCCATCTGTTCTAGAACAAGCAGCAGTCACAAGTATTGAGGCCATGTTACTGAGAACTGCGTTGGGCAGGGCATGTCTCCAGGATGAAGGACCACCGCCTCCCTAAGATCCTGCTTTATGGTGAACTTACCACCGCCTGCCGCAAGAGAGGAGCCCCAAAGACATGATACAAGGACTCCCTGAAACAACATCTCAGCCTCGGGCATATTGATCACCATAACTGGTCTACTCTGGCCTCCAATCGGGAGGCCTGGAGAGACACCATCTATAATGCTGCTGATGCTTCTGAGAAAGCATGCAGGATCACCCTTGAGGAGAAAAGACAACGCAGAAAGAATTGTGCCTTGCAGAATATACCATCTAAGGAGTCTTTCTGCTGTGCCTTTTGCAACCGGACATGCCTATCTCGTATTGGCCTTTTTAGCCACCAATGCGCTTGCAACAAATGTGGGTAGAGCCCTCCCAAATCTTTGTTTGCGAAGCCTAGCCATGATGATGACTTGATCTTAATATGGAATAATTTACACCATTTTCATTCCACTTGGGAGTTATAAAAGCATCTGTGCATCCAAACCAGTTTAATGAGTGATTGAAAGGGGGGCAAATTAGGCTATAATAGTATTGCTCCACCATTTTTAGATTAAATAAGAGTACATTTAGCAAGGCAGGAATTTCCTCTTATATAAATTTTAGTTTGGAGGTTTTTTTGAATTTGAATCTTACTTCTGACAGATGTATTTAGACAAAACAGTTATGCCTGACTGAGTTATTCGGTAAGTGTCATGCGTTAAATCTGAAAAACAAGTGTCTTTCAATACACAAGATAACGGGGGCTTTTGAATGTTCACTCTTTCTGAGGCATTTATTGTCTTAGCTCACATCCCAATGCAATGAATAAAAATAGAAAATTTCATTAATTCCAGCATAAAACTGTATGTCATGCTTCAGGGGGCAGCATTCTAACAATACACTGTGTTTGTCAGATTGAACTTGTTGATGTAGGATGGTATGAAGATAAATCCATATGGGACAGGACATTCTGGTTTGAATGCATGAGCTATCATTTATTTCTATTTTGTCAGGAAATTCAATCTTAACTAAATAATTTCCATAGAGAGATTTTGCGTTTTTTTTTTGTTTGTTTTACATTGGAGATTATTGGATAATACATTATATTATTGGATGCAAACACAGCATTGCCACCTGGTCAAGGGAGGTGATTGTCCCACTCTGCACCATACTGGTGCGGCCCCAACTTGAGTGCTGTGTGCAGTTTGGGGCACCACAGTATGAGAAGGATATAAAGCTATTAGAGTGTGCCCAGAGACGGGTGACCAAGATGGTGGAAGTCCTCAAGGACAAGATGTATGAGTAACAGCTGAAGTCACTTAGTTCAGCTTGAAGAAGGGAAGGCTCAGGGTTGACCTCATCACAGCCTGCAACTTCCTAAAGGAGGGCAGCGAAGCAGGAGGTGCTGATCTCTTTCTGGTGACCAGCAATAGGATACAAGGAAATGGAACAAAGCTGTTTCCAGGGAAGTTCAGATTGAATACTAGGAAAAGGTTCTACAATAAGAAAGTGGTCGATTACTGGAACAGGCTACCCAGGGAAGTGGTTATGGCACTGTCATAGTTTAAGATTGGCCCCCCTGAGAGTCGGGGGCTCAGAGGTGATTGGGTGCCAGGGAGGTTTTATGGAGGGCCAATCACCGTCCATGTTGTTCGCTTCTGCTGTAAAATCATATATCAACAACCATACCGGAAAAGAAGGTAGTTGTTGTAGTTTTTGTTGGAGAAGTGGTGGCCATGTTCTAAGCCACGAGGAAGGGATCCGGAGCCCTGTTGGGGGCTATGGCCCACCCAGCCCCCGGCTGGGGGGCTACAGGGACTTGGAACAGTGTTGGACTGGGCTAAGTATCTGTAGCTGAGAAGCTGGGAGTTTTTTCCCTCCACTGTGAGCAGCAGTGGGAGCAGCGGCGAAACAGCACTGGCCGGAGAGCAGTGACAGAGAGCCAGAAAAGATAAGAACTGAAGAAGCAGCAAAGCCGGCATTGCAGCCAAGGAGGAGAGACACAGAGAGATGTCTGAACGAGACATAGAGTTTGGGGTAAGAACTGAAAACCAAAACCCCAAACTCCTTTGAAAGCCCTCTTAAAGTGGAGGGGGTGGACTCCTACTGGATGGAAGTCCTAAAATGCAGCATGCACTGCAGAGAGAGAGAGAGAGAGCTGAGAAGCTCAGGCTTCCTGGAGCTGGACCAGGACGGCCGAAGGAATGCAGAGGAGGGCTGCTAAGCTAAGCTAGCAGCCTGAGATCAGAGCCCAGGAGCTCTGTAAGGGAGTTTGAATCCCCTGAGAATAAGGACCGTCACGAAGGCTTCTGCACTTCGTTGATATGACGTGGTGAAGCGACCTTTGTCCTGGTGAATGCAGCCCATGGAAGAGAAAGACCCTCGCCTGGAATCGAAGGGCTGAGAGGGGCTTGGAGGCCTCCCTCATGTGTAATGATAAAAGATCCAGCCACAGCTGCTGCATGGAAGGAGAGAAACTGCTGCCCTAGAGAGACTGCTGCTCTGAGAGCGGAAAGGATCTCTTCCTTCTTCCCTCCTGGTCTTTTATTTGGAGGAAGAAGAGATTTGATCCTTTGTAAATACTGCTTTATCATAGAAAAGATAGTTAATATTATGTGTGTGATGTATTATAATATTTATTTGTACAGTCATTGCAATATAATCCCTTTCCCCCATATTGAGTCTTGTGTTTTTTGTCTGGAAAACCCATCTCACACTGGGTTGAGATGAGGGAGGGGGGTTTGGACTTGAGAATTGGATTTTGGGGCTCTCAAACCATTACAGGCACCAAGCCTACCAGACCCTGCTGTGACTGAGCCTGTGGAAGTCACACTGTGACCCTACTGAGACCTTACTGGTGTGCACCAGGAGAGAGACTGAAGGTATGCTACACAGGATAGGCATTATGATCTTTCTGTTTAAATAATCACTGTTCTCTTCCCTCTTTACTCTCTTGCTCTTCCTCCACATGACAGCCATGACTCTGACTACATTTGTGAAGAGCAAAATGGCCCTTCCAGAGCCTCTGTCCCCACCACCTGGCCATAACAAAAGCAAGAATAGTGCAGCCTCATACAGATCTTGTCTCAGAGGGAAGCTTTAGCTTGAAATAAAAAGCTGTGTATAACTTTTGCTCATCTGATAGTGTATCATCAGCAAGTGGGTAGCATAGCAGGTGCTTGAACCTGTTCTGTTTCTTCTTACTTCTTGTTTCTTGCTCATGGCTTGCAGTCTGAATGGTGGGGAAAAAGGTGAATTCAGGATTGAATGTCCCTTTCCCCTACATCTTACAAGTGAAATCCTGAAAAAAAATCTCTTCTCAGTTACACAGATAACATAATTTTCTGACTCAGGATAATTATTCCAACCAGACCAAACTGTTCAGATGATTTCAGAATGAGAACTGGAATCTCTCTGGCTTCATGGTTCCTTAGAGACAAGCAATTTGAAGGACAATTTATAAACGTCCCTAAATGAGGGCAAGTGCTGACATCCAGAGGCAGGATAATGTAACACTTTACAGTGGCTCATGCAAACCTGAACACTGAATGCACATCAAAAGGAGCTTCAGAAATAGCCTCTAAAAAAATCTGCTTGCATATTTACAGCTTTAATATAGGTAAATATAAAACAGCTTTGAGCAGGAGGTTAAACTACAGACCACACGAGGTCCCTTCCAGCCAGAATTGTTCTGTGATTCTGTGACTGAATTCACACAAAACCATGACATGTTAAGAAGAGCATGGGACTAGGCACTACTTGGAGAAAGTTTCATTTAATTGATTAGCTCAGCACCACTCTGGGTCAGAGATAAAGGAAGACACAGCTACTTACATCATCACATCATTTTGTCTCATTCTGTAACATGAAGGAAGAATAATCTACAAAATTACCCATTAGGCTGAAATTCAATCAGTCTAGAAGGCTGTAAAATATGAGAAAATATTGGACCACATATTAGTCTATTAATATATTTAATTAAAAGAAATACATCTGTCCACAAAAAAAGGCTAAAAATATAGTACCTAATGATCATTTGTTGCTTTTATAAATTAAAGCTACTGTGGGCTTATTGTTCTGCAGAAATATTTCTAAAATATTGAGCAGTCCTTGCCTTACAAAAAAAGCAAGTTAAATCTGATCTAAGAAACAGATTTTCCTTCCTCTTATCATAAAGGGCCTGAATGATGATTGCCACAGACATCCCCCAGAAGAAAATCTGCCATCATACAGTTAATAACTCTGTCATTATGCTACAGTGCTGGCATTTTCTAACTTCCAAGTACCTTATTTTATAACAATAGTAATATTTTGTTCTGACAGAAATGTTATCATGCTAAGATGAGTGTAAATATTGGAGCTATTGAATTCACTTCAAAAACCTTAAGGGATTTCCTCTTCCATGCTTTTTTTCGCCAGAATGTTCATCTTAAGAGCACTTGACTTGTATGTTTCTGATCTCAGTGCATTGTTTGCATAAATCCAGCCCCTACAGATGCGAGTTATGCTCAGTCTTTACCTGTCCTGCCAAGGAAAGGCATTTCTTCAATATCCTCTGCTGACACTGGCCTCTGTGGATGGTGTCAGCTCTCATGGTTAACAAGCTAGCAAGACCTGTGGATCTGATGGCAAAGGCTCTCCAGGGATCTCAAATGTCTCTAGGTGGGATAAAGCACATTGGTGTCTACAATGGCATGCTGCTGGAGGAAATAAGCTGTTTGTAGAGCCATGTCTTCTGCTCATGATACTTCTTGTGGCTGATATTTCTTGTGCCTGAGCAGGAACCAGCCATGACATCATAGCTGTGGTGTGTTTGGAGAAGAGGCAGCCTCTCTGCGTGGCTGAGCACATTATCGTACAGTCCCAGCCACTACAGTAATGTCTGGTGTGACTTCAAAGACTCTCCTCTGAAACTAGGACAGAGCTCTGTGTTGCTGCTCCAACCCTTTCCATCTGCCTTTTTGTTCACCATCACAACTGTGGCCTGTCCTCATATGTGAAATAACAAATTGGATTTTGTCTTACTTGCTGTAAAGCCTTGGTAGCTATCGCTGCTGACCCTTATTCAATGTTCCCAAGTCTGCCTGTGGCTTCTCCTGGTTTCCTTATCACTTTATCATTCTCTTCAGAAATAATTACAGAAGGGAAAAAAAAATCAGTTATTCTGGACAAGATTTAATTTCTGGTTTGATGCATTGTCCATGTAATGCATTTCTAATCCAATCTAATCTCTCCTTCTCTGAACGTCTTCCAACTTGTTGATGTGAACATTTTATTTCAGGCTTGTCACCAAATTCTGGAAAGGGATGGAGCCCCTGTTATCATGGTGTGTACCTAACACAGAATCATAGAGTCATTTAGGTTAGAGAAGACCTTTAAGATCATCCTGTTCAACCATTAGCTTAGCACTGCCAGGTCCACTACTAAACCGTGTCCCTAAGTGCCACACCTACACGTCTTTTAAAAACCTTCAGAGATGGTGATTCCATTGTTCCCTGGGCAGCAACACAGGGTGCCTCTCAACATCATGAGTGAATAAGCTCACAGAGGTGGGACGGGCAACAACTCGGTGCTTTGCTGCACCTCCGTCTGGAACGACGGTTCTAGCTACAGCCGAATTAAATTTTTACTGCCACAAGATGGCAGACGGGAACAAGACAAGACTACAGGGAGGGATTTACAGATTAATAGGTTTTCCTCACCTTTGAGCCAAATAATGGTTTTGAGCAGTGATTCATTTACCTTGTGGGCCACAATGGGATCTCCATAGGAAACAAGGAAATTTCTTCATTGAAGGGAAGCAGATGACACTAGGGAGACAGTTGACACTAAAAGAACAGCATAATAACACCTCAGAGACTAATGATGTCAAAGGTCAAAGTAGCATTCTGTCTTTTATAGTATACTTTAAAAGAAGTATATCTCATAGGTATGAATTTTAGACTCTCAAGTAAGAGGATGATTATAGTAAATGATCCTTTTTTTTCTTTCTGGTTTTGTAATTTTCAATTCTTTTTATTATTATCTCAACTAAGTGTGCCCATCAGGATGCAATCCCTGTCCTGATGCAGTATGTGGATTATCACAGGCCATTCCTTTCCCCCTATTTTAATGCAAATAACTCTCTCTCCTTAGGTGTCCAAAAGCCTGAGAAATTTTCCCCTGCTCCTGGACACTGCTCTGTTTGAGGGAGATAATCTTCCCACCAAAGTTGGAGCTTTGGTGCTCTAAGCAGGTCTGGGCACCCTGGGAAAACATCCCCAGAGCGTGGCTGCTGAGGTCTCTGCCATCTTGCTCCACACAGCCCCACTGGGAGCTTCGAGGTGCAAGGGCCAGTGCTCTGCTAAGTGGTTGTGACTCTCGCTAACAGTCTTGGAAGCAATTAACAAGTCAGTTTTCCAGCAAATGGACTTGGCCTCATGACTTACAAGTGCTTCTCTGAGTGTTTATTTGAGAGGTGATAGTGGCTCTGTGCAGGTTTGTCGCTGTGTGACAAAGGCCTGTACAAATGACACAGATATGTTGTACCTTAGCAAGGAGCTAAACAGCACCAGCCTGGCAGCCCTCCAGGGCACAGGCTCATGGAATTATAAGTGAAAATCAAATAGAGCAGCTTTTAAGCCACTGCCCACCATTTGAAGTGGCCTTGTTAGAGGGCCCATGACTTTGTGTTCCCCTCTGCCCTAGTCATCAGCAATGTGCAGAAGTGGGGGGTGTGGGTGCAAGGGGCCATGTCAGCTTGCAGACTCTCAGCTCCCTGCAGACCATCACTTCTTTCCTGGAAGGACAGCTAGCAGAAACAAGGACCCATAACCTGAGGAGCAAGAGCAGGATGACACTATAATCCAGCAAGGAGGTAGCACCATAACAAGCTACTGCTGAAGCCAAAGAACAATTTTGCTTGAACTTTGTGCTGACCTTTAGTCATTGACGCAGTGAAATACCCACCCAGAGCCTGCAATTGCCCCTTACTCACATAAGCCCCTTCCTCATAGAGCATACATGGTAAAATGGAGCCAAAGGAATGTATAGCCCATTGCTCTATCTTTACACTGTTTCCTATATGGGGAATACTGATCTTTCACCATTTCAAATGTCCCAACCATATCTGGGACAACGGGGATGGGCTGAGGCCAGGCCATGGGCTCACAGGTGGGCCCTGTGGGGTGGCAGGACAGGGCTGTGGTGCCCCGGGGTCTGTAGCTCAGCCATTAGAGCCCCAGTTGAATAGCAAGTGCCACGGGCCAGGTTGGGCCATTGCCTGGCATCCCAGTGGGATGAGAGCCGCCTCTGCTGCTCTACTCCAAGCTGGCCCTGAGTCCTGAAGCCAGCCCTCCTGCCCTTGCCACGGTAACAAAACCTGATAGTCCTGTTGCTAATTTAGTTTTATTATTTCCTGACTGGGATTGGTGCCTGGCTTTCAGGTAGCATTTTAAGCTTTCTATTTTACCTAGTAAGCCCTAAATAGTTAAGTGATGACTGTTTGAGAGATGATCAGTGTTGGCACGTGTTGTCTGGCTGGGTAAATGGATCCCACCTTCACATGTGAAGCCTGACACTTGTTTTACAGGCTGTGAAGAAAACCCAACACTTTTAAGATTCCAGATAGCTAAAAAATGGACTCTTAAATAACTACCAACATAAAAGATGCCATTTTCCAAACAGACAGTGGAAGATAGGGCAGTCTTTTATGTCCCAGCAGAGTGATCAAAGGTTCAGGATGTCTAATTGGGCTGATTTGCTTTCTGTAAATAATTAAATATTCATTAGACCTCTGGGCTCTGTAGCACTTCCCTATTTCCGTTCTGCCTCTTCACTGCACTGGTTCTCTTGGCTTGGCCTCTCAGCTGAAATCTGAACATGTATAAGGAGTCCATGCAGAGGTGATCTTCAGGAAGCTGGATACATTCCGCAGGAACATTAAATTTTTGATGGAAATAATGAAAGACCGACCACCTTTTTGTAAACAAGTTAAAAATATCTTATCTGGCATTGGTCCTTCAGTGGTGAAATTCTCGCCTGCCACGTGGGAGGTCTGGGTTCGATTCCCAGCCAATGCAACAGCTGCATCTTTTTCCCGAGGAGGTGGTGGACTAACCATCCCTTGAGGTTTTTAAGATGAGACTGGATGTGGCACTTAGTGCCATGGTCTAATAACCACAGCAGTGTTGGATCAAGGGTTGGACTTGATGATCTCGGAGGTCTTTTCCAACCTGGTTGATTCTATGATTCAATTCTATGATTCTGTGATTCTCAATATCTGTAAATTAAGGAGGTTTTGACAAAATGCCCTTCAGATCAACAGTTGGAAGGTCCTGGCAGGATCATCTGTCCTGTCTGTTAAGTTGCCTTGCAACCCTCTTAATATTCGAATTGAAACAGCTGTAGTCTCTTGGTCCTCAAAACAGACTTTACTGTCTTATCTTCCTATCCTGTAGTGAAAGAGCAAGAATAAGGAGGGATAGATGCTTTTGTGGAAAAGGAGAATGTTACTGGACAGCTAGGAAATTAAAGAGTTTGTTAAAGTTAGATATTACCTTGCTAAATAACAGGGACTGTTGCTTGACTGCATATATAGATGTACATGATGAGCTCACTTTTCTGACTGTTCTCTTTCATGTTTCCTATTTCCCTGAATATTTCATGTGGGATTTCTCCACAGGAGAAATGACTCAGTTCATGCAAACCACCAACTCTCCCACTTACCCTCTTGTGAAGGAAAATTTATTTTAGTTGAATTGGGTGATTACAGTCAAGGAGGAGAAACATTTGCCTTTTCAAGCATAGGAGAAGTCAAAGAACCCTCAGAGATGGTGAGATCTTAAATGAGATTAATGGGATCTCCTGGATGATCCCCTTGCATCCCCAAAGAAAGAACAAACTCTAGGCCACACTGGATGTGCTCTGACTTCAAGCCCACATATCACCTCACGAAGTATGACTCAAAACACACTCTCTGGTTGTTTAGAGGTAATATGAATTGATACAGACATTGCAGGAAACTGAAACAGATTAGACATCAGTCTGCAGTGGCTTGGCCAAAAACCACGACTATATGGCTTTTCTTCTTTGAGGTCTGAATGTAAGTACTTCAGGCATGGTGGACTTAATAGTCATCCATACATATATTTTCATGCAAATATAGGTATATACATGTGTATCTCACATATGTATCACACACATCTCTCTCTATATATGCACACGTATGATAAGAACCGCATGAAATAACATCTGTTCCAGTATACATGTGTTCTGCATATAATATATGTATTGTACCTATATGTTATTGAAACATCTTTATATGAGAATCACATTGACATATGTACCTTTAGGTACAAATATATGTATATATACACGCACTTTATACATAGCGCATACTCTTATGTATACATACATATATGTATAGTAAGTATGGACTAGATACTTTGATGTATACAGGTACATATAGTATTTATGTGATTCCTAAAATTTAAGCCTTTTATGATCACGTGCTACTCAGTAGCCATAATTCAGCTTTTTGTTGCCTAGAGACTGATGTCAAGAATGCAAGCACACTTCTCTTAGTCTGTTTCTTTCAGGCTGCCTATGAGAGAGACACACACTGAGGCAGAGATCCTGATTTCTGATTCCCCACAAAACTTTCATACCATTTACTGAATATTAAAGTGTCAGTAGTAGTAATCATCCCATGCACTGTGCTGTAAACAGGATTTTTGATGTAACTGGTATAGACTCCTGCTGATAGTAGTTACACTCTGCTGAAATTTAAACAAATATGATTTGCAATGAACAATTTATTCTGTGAAAAGTTGTGCAATTTTATCAATCGTGAAAAGGCCAGGCAATACCATTTCAGGTCATCATGTCCACCTTACTTAGTGCCAAAACCTCTCCTCCTGATGACTTTTTAAATACCAAAACTATAGCTAAAATGATCCAACAGAAGAGATGATCGAGAATCAATTTCATGGCTTTTCAACAGCAATCTGTTCTGGCTCTTTGGATTTCCTGCCAAGAAAAGAAAATGGAATTCATTCCTCCTGGGCATGCAGGAAAAAGAATCTTCTATGTAGTTTTCCAAAAGAAAAATTATTTTTGGACTTCTATGTATTTTACTTCTCTCATTGTAGTAGGTTTTGAATCTAAAGTTTAATTTCAATCATATTTAATGAGTTATTCCAGTCCCAAAACTTGGATGAAAAATGATGGTAGGGAAATGAGAGAGATAAAATTAGTGTCTCTGGTGAGAAAAAGGTTTAAGTCTGAACTCAACTGATATTTCTTTTGTGGTTTGTAGGTTAGTTATTCAGCATGTTCACGTGGCAAGTCAGTCACCATGGACATCGCTGGAATCAGCTGGGATTTAGGAGGAAGAGGGGAATTGTGAGAGTATAGATGTGGGGAAAACATACATAAATTTTATTTTTAAATAAAAAAACCCCGATCTCTAGGAAGACAGGCTTTAGTAATTACAAATATTCAAGGAACACTTTTCCCATCTATGATTGACTCAAAGATTTGTTTCATCACTTACCATCACTTACATTTGTTTCACCCAGCACTTCACTCTTCACTGCCCTTTGCAGTGTAAGGTGGACAAAGATACAGCTTTAGCCTCAGGGAGCACTCAGGGGTGCTGCTTAGCCAAACATGAGACAGGCTGTCATACTACTTACTATACTTGACCAGTGTAAACGACAGTAACTTTTGTGCTATTTTCACATTCTTTTGCAGGTTCAGTTTGCTACTCTGAAGTCATACAACAATGCTTTTAGAAACACACCTGACTTTTGATGCCTTTTCACAGCTGTTAGTGTAAACTACCTTAACTGATGTTCCTTAATCAATTACACTTAGATACTGAAGTTAATAATTTACAATGGAAGTATCCTTGCAGGTTTTTTTTCTCACACTATCTTTCAGAATCTAGTTTTTGCTAATAAAAAAGGCCAGGTCAGATATAGGTAAAATTTTGGGGGGTTAAAAAGCTTCTAGCTGACAAGCACTAGATTATGTAGTAAGGATTGTTAGCAGAAACTCCATATAATATTAGCAAAGGGTTATGATGTCAGAAACTGTTCACAGTCAGTGGAGGTCTTGCTAGTTGTCTGCAAAGAGATTGTTGCAGCGGTGCCACAACTGTCCCAGCTCTTGTTTAGAGTAAGATAAAGACCTCTAAGTATTTATCAGGACAATCGCTTCCATTAAAAGCTACAGTATGTACTTAGGAACATAAGAAAGACAATTTTTCATAATTAATCTGATTTATGTGACACCAGCTTATTCCCATTCAAGTGTTTAGCATCACAGTCTTCTTCTATACTAGTAGATCATGCAGGCCAAACTTTATCCTTTGGTTGTGAGGGCAGGCAGCATTGTATATTCCATATTTCTTCATCTAAATGTTCTCCCCTGATAACAGGGTCACTTGGTCTATACAGCTTACTGGGGAGGGTTTGTGCTTCAAGCTGTTCTCTGAAACATGCTCAAACATTCTTTTTTGGTAATGTTGCTAGGTGGGATAAACCAAAAGCATGGTGGGCACGTGTTAATGGTTAAAGAATACAAACAGTCACATTTGAATGTTTCAGTGAGGCTTTGACATTACTAAGTTTAGTAGTAAACACGTAGAAGCTGTTTTTCAGCTAGGTGCCCAACCTAAATATCAACTACTTTCAGCCTGAAACGTAGAGCAATAAAGTCTGTAGTCCATTACCCACCATCTTTCTAGAGCACACTTGAACATCTTTGTTGCATGACAGGTCACATGATGAGCATGTGACCAGCTGCCAGATCACAGGATAAAGAGGACATTTCTGACATGCCAAGTGCTTGAACTTCTGTTTATGTGCTTGTAGGTTGGTCCTGAGAAAGGCCTAGGCCAGCTACGTGCAACAGGATTATGTCTTAATAATGGCACAAGGTTGAAATGCAGTCGGTCATCTCATAGACTGACATTAGTTGGATATATTAAATTGTGTGACAAGTACTACAGTGCCCTTAAATGCGGGCCTTAAGTGCTTCCTTAAATGTCTGTAAAGTTTACTGAAGAGAAGGATTTCTGCCACCATTTTGTTTTTGCAGTTTGGACTTTGTACATAACAGAGAGTGCCTATGGCTGCAAGATCCTGACATAAAAAACAGGGGCTAATCTAAGAAAAAGCTTTTATGTATTTCAGTAATTACAAATAAGCAGGTGATGAAACAAGATAGACTGACTTTTACATTTTATTTCTTTAGGTGAAAAATCTACTTAATAAGTCATGAACACCATTTGCTAAGTTTCATGCAAATAAGGAAAGATGAGTTTATTTAAAGATTGTAAAATGTTTGATGTGACCCTGGAGTCAAGGCAAAATCCCATCTACAAAAAACGAGGCAGCTTTGCTCTGAGGGGAAACAGCTGTTATAAGAAAGGTAGTTCAAGGAGCCTGCTCAATTCATAGTATTAATTGAACAAGTTAGGAGCACAGGGAGATAAAAATAAAACATTTTCTCAGCTGCTGTCACAGATGTGAACCTTCATGCAGCAAGAACACTTTAATCAGTAGCAAACAAATACAAAGGTGACAGCAAGTGCTTGGAGCCTTGTTTAATTGAGCAAAAGGAGGAAGACACCTCTGGTACATTTGCAGGGTACTGCAAGGTCAAATCTAGTTTCTCTAAGTGTAGTATATTTGCTGCTAGCAAGTGTTTTTCAAGCATGAAGGACTCAGGAGAATAAAGTTCAAAATATTAATGTCATTCTTAGTACTTGTTTCAGTTTAGCCCAATATGAAACTGATTAATAAGATGCACAGTATTTTTTTAGTAACCAGCCTTGCAGGAACTGAGAGATGAAACCACATCCTGTATAAAAGTACTTAACATCTTACCACTCAAAGGCTATCTCTAATTACATACTTCAGAACATTTCTATTGTAAATGTGTAATTAATTTGCATACTAAAAATATTTCAGGTCCTAAAAATATCTTAAAAATGAATTACTGATAGACTGTTTCAAAAATATGGGATTCAGGAAGTAGACAAAACTGGATCAGAAAGGTATTATCATAATATATTTTAGTGAGATTTATGTTGAATAATGAAACAGCTGGGGAAAAAACCCAGGTGCTTGTTATAGTGAGATGGTGCATTCCCATATGATTATTGCCCTTTATATTTCTGTAGGAAAGAGGCAAACAGATATCATGAGGAAAGAGTTTATCAGGACTTTTCTACTGAAAACTGACTGATAAGAAGATGCAAACATTTCTAGCTCTAAATATTTTCTTTGAATGGTAGTTGGAGTCTGTGTTTTTTTTGCAGGACATCCTTTCCATACCTAACAGTCCCACCAATGGCAGCTTCGTATTAAACCAGAGACAGATTATTCTGTCTGATGAATAATATTATTGCCCCCCCCTTTAATTACCTCTCATTTTGTAGTTTTCTCCAGCTGAGACACAGAGGTAGTATGTTATTTCTC